TTAAAATCAAATCACAATATAAATTAATAAATTAATGTACTGTTATCATTAACAAATTTATGATAATTGAACTAACCTGTAAGAAAATACTGCAGCAACATGCCCAAGAGAAACAGAACCAGCCCCCTCCGCATTTCGCCCAATTGGGCCAGCAGCAACTATTATGTTATCAATACTAGTAAGTAAAACTAATATAGTCTTACACATATTCTAGCATGTTATCCGAAGTTATTATACCTGACCTATAATTAATTTCGAAAAAGAGTAAAAAGAATAAAATGTTAGATATAATGAACATATAAATCAATGAGAGCGAAGATTTAAATGAAATACATTCGTACTTACAGGTTTCCACCTAAGGTGACATTTCCACCATGCATAAAAGATTTAACAGCAGCCCTGCTGTTCAGGACAATAACAAAGTCAGTGAGCTCTGCACCAAGTTGTCCACCAAAGCCCTATAAATGCCAACGAAATAAATTAGCACTATTATAATGAGTGAACAAAAATTATTTTTTCAGCTTACCATACCACCAGTCATAATTGCCGATGGAGCTGACCATGCTAGATTATACAAGAGATTAAGGAATTAAAACTAAAAATTCAACGATTAACCGTGCCTAAAATGAATTGCTTACATCCATCTTCAAGTCTGGGGAAAAAAATGAATAAAATTTAAATTTATTTCTTAAGTATTTAACATAATAACGCGTGATATACCTTGCAACGACTAATCCAGAGCCTACTCTTCCTGAGAAAACAAAGCCAGCCTTGATAACGGTGAATATCGCAAAACCTTTTGCTTTTTGTAAAATATTTGGTGGAATGACCTTATCAGGACCCTTAACAATAACAACAATAATGTTAACATTAAGTAAATGATTTCAAAGAAATACATTAATTATACAGGTGACGGGCTAGAAAAACTCCATTTGGTATTTCTTTTCTAACCGGGATTTTCCTAGTCAATCACCCAGATAACCAATTTTAACATACTTTTGCTGCAACCGGATCTACAGAAGAAAAAGAAATCATCGAGTGAATCACAAATAGGGAAATGATTGCAATTTAAAGTCATTAAATAATAGCAATTGACACGTACCAATGAAGCTATTCAAGATTTTGGCTGCCTTTCTACATTCGCCTTGAGAAATAAATATGTTTTAAAATCTGCTTAGCAATAATAATAAACCATAGTAAATAAAGCAGAAAATATTCTTTACTTGCTAGATCTGTTGGTAATGGAGAGTTAACCATATTTATATGGATAGTCTAGCTGATCACGTTACTTTAGTTAAAAAAAAAACAGAAGCTGCACAAAAAAAAGTTACGTTTTAATACAAGGTGTTTCGTTTCACTTATTTTATTTGATTTAAATTTTTTCTTTATGAGACTTTTAG